GCATGCTCATCTTATGTTGCAATCTGTGCGTCAAGTGTTAGATCAAATTTTATGATGCTGTTGCCTACAGAGAAGTACAAGAGAGCAAGTCCTGCTTAGAAAGTAAAATATCTCCAAGCGGTGTAGTAGCATCATTAAGTCAACTGGGTTGAGTTGATTTCACGAACAAACCATAAGCACGGTTGGTTATTAGTATATATTGGCTAAATATGCTTCAGCGTCTTTCGTGACCACTGATTGGTTCAGATTCAATATCAGTCCATGATGGACATGCATAAAATATGAAATTAGTGTTCTTTTGGCAATATCAACCTTTGAAGTTGCCAGAACCGTCCTCCCGCAGCGCGCTCCACGCCATTAAACAGTTAAAGCAAGGGTTCATCTCCTCGAGCTCGTACGAATAAAGAACGTTCAGCGCGAATGCGATGTGTACGATCAGGACCATACATCGCTCTACATGACAAACGTGGTTGAGCAAGAAAGACAAGTACCTCGCAGCTCTTGGCAACAAACCGTTCCACACTTGGCCAAGTCCTGCCAGCGCTCATCCCCATTGGCACAGATCTCTTACATTTCATGAAAGAGATGAGGCAAGACAGTCATTTGCGAACAACTGCACATATGGTGACTTGAATCTATAACCATTGCCCCGCTATGGATTCAAGACTACTTCAAGCCGACGCCAGAGCGAGTATATAATTCGGTCTTAGGCTTTTGCCAGGAATTTGCACACCATCATGTGTTTGCCCAGCGTGTGCCTTTTTACTCGAAGCTGAAGTGCGCGGAGCTGGAGCTCGTTCAGGTGACCTTTGCAACCTCTTTCTGGATGAAGTAAGATGCGCATCCCCTACGTGGTATTGTCAACATTGATGACAGGGCTGATTAATTTGACATGCCACACCGTCGCACGTAGGCTGAGATCTGCGAAATCTGGAGAGTTGAAGCGACCGAAAAGCACACTCTGACCGCCTCAGTGCTGTCATGGGAGCATGCGCGGATGGTATGTCGTGGTCATGTATTGATCATAATTTGACCTTTTATGATCAATACGTTCTTAGGGTCAGGCAACCGATTCTATTTGTGTTGCGGGGTATTCCAGGTGGTGTTATCCAGTCTAAAGTATTGCCGACACTCCCACCTGGTCATCATTACGTGGTTCAAGAAAATTCCAGGAATCTGCTTCATAGTTTGGTAAAGAAGTTTAGTGACAGCTAAACACGGATACTACTCTGGTCCATAATAGTTGTTAGCAAGTTTTTCACTGGATTAAAGTATGAGTAGCCATCAGGAAATATCTTAAAATTTGTATGTCACTTCAGAAACGAATATGAAAAGGAAAAAATTTAATGTATTTTTATT